AGGGCCTGATGGCAGATTGGCCTGCCATTGTGGTTTGCCAACATCAGTTTTAAGACTTTGCTCAGCATGAGTTTCTGGCCTTGCTCTGGGGCAATTACTACTTGTTTGGGCACCTGGTATCCTTCCATAGCTGTTCAGGGGTGGCAGTGTCCCACTTGCTCTCTCCCTGGAATGACACGCAGACCAGGGCCTGGCCTCAGGACCAGCAGGAAGAAATCAGACCAAGGGCCGAGACGTGGTTTGGTAATCCGCAGTGCCTCGTGTATGCTCATGTACAGCTGCTTCCAGCCTCTGTGGGCACGAGGGAGGCTTCAGGATCCAGTTGCTGTGCAAGACCTAAATCGTGTGCCCCCAGCCCCTCGGCCACACCCACACCTAACCCCAGTCCCTCCAGCTAAAAGCACAAAGACTGCCTCAGGGCAGGCCTTGTGATGGCCCGTGAGGAGACAGATGGCCAGGCGTCCTTGGGAGCCAGGCAGGTCACATACAGTGTGGGCTGGACGGGACGCATGGGCTGCCGGTTTCTACCACCGAGGGCTCCCAGAGTTGGGGAAGATAAGGCCCAGGCACAAACAGGATAGGGCATGGAGCAGGCTCAGCCTCAGAGGGGCAGGTTAACTTGCCAGGGAAGGAGGCGTCTGCCCTCAGGGAGGAGGTCAGCGTCAGGGGACCCAGCATGGGACTTGGTGCCCTGACTGGTTTCTACACCATGGGGTGGCAACAGCACGTCTCGGGGGCCTCTGGGCTGTGCCGCGTGTTGGGCGGTGTTGCTGTGAAGGGAGACTGGGGTGGCCCGAAGCACAGCCTCAGAAGGGGCAGCCCTCCTTTGGGGGCCCACTAGCAGAGAAATGGCACGAGTAACCGGCTCTTCGGTCGCTCCCTCCCACAGGGCCGGCTGGGGGGGCTGGACTTGGCAGTGGCGGGGGCTACAGGGAACGGGGCGGGTAGTGTGCCAGCGCCTGGCTCAGGAAAGGGAAGATGGCTGAGGTGGCTGCTGGGCAGAGATGGGTAGAGGGCCAGGAGAGAACAGCTCTTCTGACACCTCGCCCCAGGCCTGCCTGGGACCCCGACTTTAACTGGCCTTCCTGGAGGCAGGAATTCTTTCCTGCAGTCACTGAGGACTGTCCCTGTAGGGGGCACTCCAGAAAGGGATGCAGCAGAGACAAGGAGAGGGCCCCCACTCTGAGTCCTCAGAGAAGTCGGTCCAGTGGGAGCCCTGATTCCCGTTTGTGAAATGCTGATCCCTTGTGGCCTGTCCCGGGGATGTGGCGAGGAGTGAAGAGCGAGACGGAAACAGCACTGTGGAGCTCTGAGGCTGCGTCAGCTGCTGTGGGGGACTGCGAGCCTCTGAACCTCCCACTTGCCAACATCTGGGCTCCCACCAGCAAGGCTGAGGGGGAAACAGCAAGCCTGGGCCCAGAGAGGTGGCCACCTGGGCAGACACCTGGAGACAGAGACAGACGGAGAGGGAGCTCCTTCCAGTGCCACCTGCATGCCACAAGGGCCAGGCTGGACAGCTCAGTCCAGAACATTTCCAGCACAACTCACATACCCCCAAGAACACATCTCTGAAACTAGAATCAAAACAAATGGAAAAACAGGTACCTTTGGCAACCAGCCCTTCAGATCGGGTATTTTGACACCCAAGTTACAGCTACCTTGGTGACA